CGTTTACCGTACCTACGTACCGTACGTACGTACGTACGTCGTACGTACGTACGTACGTACGTACGGTACGGTACGGTACGGTACGGGTACGGTCGTCTCTCTCTCTCTCTCTCTCTCTCTCTCTCTCTCTCTCTCTCTCTCTCTCTCTCTCTCTCTACTATATATATATATATATATATATATATATATATATGCAATGCGCAGTCATTATTGTAAATTGTAGACTATCTTGTAATCCCCCATGCCACACTTCCGGACCATTTTCTCGCATTCGTAATAGAGGTCGATGACTTAAAGGCACGTGGGTAGGCGTGCGTGCGTGCGTGTATGTCGAGGTTAGGTTGTGTTTTGCCTTAATTATGTCTAACCTTGCCCATATATTTTATTAGACGCGTCCTGCACGCCCTTTTGAATTAACCCGTTATGAGCGCAGCAACAGGGACGTCGGGGGACAGTCTAATTTTTAATTTAAAGACAATTTTATTTTACTTCATTTTATGTCACGATGCAGTTTAGTCCCCAAAGGACCTCAAAAAAATTTCCGACACGAACCGACACCATGCACAGTCTCTTTCGATCTCTACAAGAAAAAGTGCTTCCGATTACTAAATTTCATTGTCGTTTCAATACTATACACGCACGAGTAGGCCGCATTTTATACGAATCTATGCACATCAACCAATACAAAATCGCAACAGAGCATATCTAATGTATATATATATACACATATACATACAACCTTTATTATCGTATTTCATCCATTCAGTTAATATAATCCAACTTTCATTATGGTACACGGGTACAAATAAATACGTTTCACATACGTGGCATCATCATACCGATTTTCAAAAAAGTGCGAAAGTGATTACACAGCGATTCTCTCTAATAAAACGTCTATAAGATAACTACCCCCTCTCTACACATCTCTCCACACATCTTACTCATAATTTACACGGAATAGTAACGCTGCCCTTCACGAATGAACGATGATGACTTTCTAGACGACCGGACTGGACCGGACCGGATTTCTGACTTTCTAGATGACTTTCTAGACGACCGTATATATGTATACGTATAGAGACGTACATTTAACCACGAATCCGCGTATACTTAAATATATACACAGGTTGAGAAGTGAATAAAAAGAACTAGGCATACCCCTCCCCCCTCCCCCCGAAAGCAGCATTTTTATTTTTATTCACTTTTTAGGGTTCACGGTGTGACATCGTAGGTACCTTTATTCGACACAGCGATACCGATGCACACGTGCACATATTGCACAAGTGCACACGGGCGGTAAAGCTATATGGTGCCAACACACATACGCGCTCATACCCTCACGGTCGGTTCAACTTACCTTCAAGTATGTAAAATCGCGTGGTTATACACTCCTGATATATATATATATACTGTATTTGCTAGAGACACAGGCGCGACAGAATCGCGAACACATACACACGAGATACCAGTTCATATATGTTCATGATAGAAGGTAGCACAGGTAGGTATCAGCATGATATCATACCATCACTGACCTACTTTAAGTTGCCATTAGATGAAATGTTTGCACAAAAACACTGTTGTGTACACATGGACTTACCTCACACGCCCTGAAATAAAAATATATTAGCTCATCTTAGTCATCACTGATTTATATACACGTAAAGCCATTTTCTCGTGCACATAGTATGAAAAGTGACTGCTACACCCATGAAAAAAAGAAATTTTCGCAAAGCAGGTATAGGGGCTTTATCGAAGGATAGGATATCTACACTGTGTATGCATCCTATAATTTTTCCTGATATGATATATACCGCAGATAAATGCCTGCGCAAATTTTCTTGACCTTCTTCAAGCGGATTACGTATGGCAATCTATCACTATGCACGTATTGACAAAGTCCGATCTCTGGTATATTTACATTTGTCATCAGAAGTGAATAGAAAAATGTTGTTATTATTCACTTCTGATACCGTGTGTAGAAGCAAACGTCTACAGACCAACTGCGTTACAGACACGCACGCAAGCACGCACACACACGTACGCACGCACGCACGCACGTACGCACACACACACGCACGCACGCACGCACGCACGCACGCACGCACGCACGCACACACACACACACACACACACACACACACACACACACACACACACACAACAACACTAC